CATATTCAACGTTCACGCAGAGTAAATCAGGACGATATTTTTTTCAGTTTTAATAATATTGGTCTAAAACGTAAAAGAAAGTTAATTAATTAAACTGTTATTCACTGCATGCTGGTAAAAGCAAATATACGTAAATCAGATTCTAAACACCAGCGTATACCCGAGGAATAGCAAGGATATTTTGACGTGGTGTAATGGTTAACAAGCTTATCTCGTTAGCTCAATTACGACCCAGTAGCGAGTTCTATTCGCACTGGGTGCTCTATAATTTCGGTCTTCTGTCGCATATCACTCTGCTTAGAAAATCACTACACGCAATAACAAGCCCTAGGAATATAGCAGATTTACACATTTCAAGATATTCAAAATATTTCTTTGAATATTTGAAGCGATGTCGTTATCTTTCTCAACTGATAATCTTTGTTCAAAACCTCTAATACGGTTTTCGTTTAGTCTAATATTTGCCGTTTTTCATGGCGTATTGTAAAGGCATACAATAGGAACACGTAAGATTCAGAAATATTCTTATCACTCTTGTTGACTTCATGGAAAAGAAGATTCATATTGTTTTATTGATTTCAGTGAACAATGATCAGAAATAAAACATTAGGAATCTCATTTCGAAATTTAATTAAACGAACACTAAATGCTATTGTTAATTTGCGATAAATTTTTCTTGATTCTGTTAACTAATATCTGTAGAAATCGGAACTGGGCAGTTGCAATGAAAAGCAACTGAAACTAAAATGAAGCAACTAACCATCAAAACGTAATACGGGGTTCGTCTGAAACGTTACTCTAAAATAATCTCATGGAATGTGACGGAATGAGGTTTATTTTTCAACAGCCCTGCATGTAGTTCACACATTTCTTCTATCGGTGTTGCAGTGGTTTTCTCCGATTGGGGAAGAAGCATTCATCCTTTACGCCCCAAAAGTTTTCAACAGCAGAAAGGACGTCATCATCACGTCCTATCTGCAACTGCTTTTTTATTTTGGAGAAAAGATGACAGATTAAGTCAAATCAGGGGAACAGAGCTAGTGATCAACCAGTTCAAAACCACTTAACAGTTAATGAGATCAATCGCTTGTGTACTGGGGCAGTGTCCTGATGAAAAAAAGAACAACTTTTCATTAGTTTTGGCGGGAGTTTGCTCTTGATAGCCTTTCGTAACTGCATCAGAAGGTTGGTATAGTATTGATGATGTTACTCTTTTGAAGGCTATCACTTTCCTTACAGATGAAAATCCGATAGCCATTTTGAAACAGTTGAAGAGCGGTGTTTTCACTTCATGTATTCTCATTTTCTCTCTGGCTCAAAGTGAACCTGGTTTAGGAAACTTTCAAGATGATCAGTTCGACCTGTCTCAGACAATGTTAGATTTTCCCGTAATGTAATCAGCATTCTGCACTTTTGATCAGGTGTCAGAAGACGTAGCATCCTGTGATCAGAAAACTTCGTCGTGTAAACTGTGCAGAATATTCTCAACTCTCTCACGGTGTATACTAATAGTCATTGCTATTTGATTTGTAGTCAATCGCCTGCTATCCGTCACCATGTGGGGAACACGACCAATGTGTTCCCCAGTAGCGCCAGTTGCGGACGTTCGAACCATGAGTCATCTTCATGCTTCGAACGTCATCCCCTGCTGTTGCAAAACATGTCATCATCAATGTCTTTGGGGACTAAACCCTTTTCTGCAGGTATTTGATCACACCACGGTATCAAATTTTGTTCATTTTTAAGAGGTCTCTACTGGTTACTTTAAATAGTCAGATGTTAGTTTACCAGGGGAAAATAATGCAGATATTAATAATCTATGCAACATTTCAGTGCATCATTCATTCATAGCCAGCCTACGAACTTTTTAACCTTCCCTCGTACAAACTGAAAAGTTTCGCCTAAAATAAATTCAATTTTTCTTTTACTCCAAGTGTATGAAAATAATCTAATTATTGGGTTGGTGCATAATTATCAGGCGTTATTTAATCAATATTTATTATGAAAAAACAAATATAACAGTTCAACTATAACATTTTTAAATGATGATTCCGGAACGTATGATTATCGACACGAATTTCTATAATCTGAAAATTAAATAATATTTTTATTAAATAAATTAAACAAATCAGCAAGTTTTTTAACAAATAACTCGCCTACAAAAATGCCTGATAATTATGCACCAACACAATTAATATAACAGATTAAAGTAGGCAACTCCACGAAATCGCTAAAAAAAGAGCATAGTCTGATGAAAAAGACGCCAAACTTTATGAAAACAAAATTTTATCGTCTAAATGCTTATGTTTTTAGGAAGAGGAAAGACCAAATTTTTTTTTAATTATTTTAAAAATTGTTTCCTTCTTTTTAGAACATTCTAAATTTTGATTAAAAATCCTTGTTTCACTTTGTACCAACATGGGCTAGTAAATAACATAGATAATTTTAGCTTTTCATGTATTACACACATTAATTTAGAAAATCTTGCAAAAATACAAATAATTGTCAGATGTTAATGAAACTTTCAGAAACTATTCACAGATGATCGAAAGTATTATAAATATGTTTTTTTTTATTAAAGTCATGGCAGAAATATTTTTTATATATATTTATTAACACCCCCATAACTAATTTTATGAAAAACTCTAGAAATTCGAGCGCATCAGGTTTAGTGACTACAATAGTTAAAAGCACAAGGCTTTGAAGAATGAAAAATCATGTTTTTTTTGTTGTTTTTTTTTTTTTTTGACTCCGCGGTACCTGAAAATTAGCTCTAAATTGTAACATACAAAACTCAATAAAACAAATATATTATTTAATTTCAAATGCTTTTATTTGTTTTTAGTTGTTTTTCTGAATATGGACAATATTTTCTAAAATCAAAAACTTTTTTCAATGAAAATTGAATTTTTAATACAATTATTTGTTATTTCTTTAATTATAATAGATTTTTACAAAGTTAATTATTAAGTTTTTTAAAAATATTATAACATTAGTTAAAAGCAACGTCAACCTTTCAAAGTGTCCATATGAGATTGTCATTGTCTAGCGCTTTGAAAATTGTATCGAGGGACCAATCAGAAGATCCGCAGTAATTAAAAAATGTAATTTTTGAGCTTATAATCGTGCGGTAATTATAAAGTACGGAAGACCAACCAGAATACAATTTAGTTGCATTATTTGAGTTCAGCATTGTTCTCCGCTGTTAAGGTCTTTACTTTTGCGAAACACGCATGGAGAAGTTAATTTGATTTTTCAATTTCAACTGAGAAGGGTACCTATAAGAATCAGTATCATATTATGAAATTTAACTACTGCTAAACTTTAATTTATATGATCTTATTTTTATATTATCCTCGGTTATGACATTTTTCCATGAATGAAATATCAAAATTAATAATAAAATGAATGGAAATACGAATAACACAGTAAAATGTAATAAATGTACATAAAATTATAGTATTTTATGTACACTTCTGATAAAATTCCATAAGAAAGGTACCTATAAATTAATTAGATACCTTTTTCTTATGAAATTTAATCTCACTCTTAACAGTCTTATTTTTTAATTTCTTTATATTTTCCATAAAGCATCGTAAACATAAAGATGAAAGCTAAGTACAAAAAAAAAAAAAAATTGAAAAATTAGAGCGCCGAAAGTTTTCCTTAAAAGTAACAAGGTAAATAATTTGTTCACTTAAATCTAAATAATTTCACTTCCTTCCATCCGTAGAAAGAATTATCCTCCCGTAAGTTATCTAAACGTCATGAATCTGTCTTTGGTCACTTGTCAAACGACGCGAAAGGTTATGACCTGCTTTGTTTTATTTTCAAATTACATTTTTTCGGTGCAGAAGCTAAGTTAAGCTTGGTTCAAAACATTTTAAATAAATATTATAATTTCTGATTTTATTAAAATCAGTTTTAAAAAATGATAATTGATTTTTAAAAGAATATCAAAGTCAGATTTTCATCTTTTTTATCAAATCGAAAAAATGATTGAAAAAGATTGATCATCTGTCCTTTTTTTTACCAAAAAAAACAATATTTTTAACGAAAATTTCAGACGTGCTAGGAACGATTAAGAAATGGAAAAAAAATACCCCCAAATTACTTTGATCTTTCCTCTTTAATAATAATATGAACATTAGACGATAAAATTTTGTTTTCGTCAAGTTCGGCGTCTTTTTCATCATGCTATGCTCTTTTGTTTACATTTTCGTAGAGGTACCTAGATTAAAGTTTCTATTAGAGAAAATAAAGAATAAGCCTTTATAATTAGATGTAATATCCTCACAATCGCTAGTTGCTATAGTCTAAACGGTTAGAGCAGATGACACGGTAAGATATTTTTTTCTATTTGAGTTCATATCTGTTTATTTCATATCTACATTGATTTCTAAAGGCCGGAGGATGGTGGACAGAGTGTTTGCTATGAAGATATTTGAAATTTATATTAAAAGGTTACTAGTCAAGTCGTAAATATATTAAGATATAAAAAAATATGTGTTGTTGTTTAAGTTTCCGTAGCAAGTAGACAATTTTTACGGGATCGAGATTCTAGAACTTCGAGATTCTTAATCTGTTGAAAATTCAGAGAAGTCCTTTTCGTAGATTTGGTTACCCAAGCTGGAGGGCCCAGCCTCCGCTCCTATCAATCGATATCTGAAGGATATACATATTTCTAAGGGTATTTATGCAAAAAGAAACGTAATTGCCTCGGCTAGAGTTTGGACTCGGTACGCTAAAATTAGAATCGTTTATTAGTTTCTATGGAATACAGTAAGTAATTTAACACTCGGACAGAGCTTTTTTTCAGCTGCAACCAAAATTTTTAAAAAGTATGCTAGTTGTGTTTTTGTTTTCTTTCAGATGAAAGTGGAGAAGAATAAATGGCTCCAACCCTGTCAAAGAGTATTTTTACCTAGGTAGATTTTTTAATTCGGCACATTAATATCCGTGTCGCACATGTCGTTCCGTCGTTCCACAAATATCACGGTTTACGGCCACAACACATTGAAACAACGGTTTCCATAAGATCATCGAAGTTAAGCAACGGTGAGCCTGGTCAGTACTTAGATCTGTGACCTCTGGAGAATACCACGTACTATAAGCTTGGATATATGTTTGGTGTAATCCTAGAAATCGTTAATCGGAGAGCCGAGTTCCAATTTCTGTAGGGTTTGTTACTCACTCTCGATCAAATATCTTTGGGAAGATATGAATCTATCTCTTCCCTCTCTTTCATGGGTCAATTAATAAGACGTGTATCACTAAACGATTATTATACCCCCAAACATTCTCATAAACTAAGACTGTTTTCTGGTTTTAAATAAACTGCAATGAGTTGATAAACTGCAGAAAACGAATCAATCCATCAATGAAAGCAAATATAATCTGTTATTTCTTTCTATAGAAATTCCAACAAGGAACACATTGACAATGTTGGATTTTCCGCTACAATATATTATTGTTCTATACAGTAACCGTCACTGGCTTTATTTTATGAGTAGAAAACTGCACAGGGCGGACCTCATCATGCCTTCAGACGGACATCACTGTCTCCTCTACCGAAGCGCATTTCCCGCATCCTAATTGTACTGATATCTATCCTTTATTCTCCGTTTATCTTCAATAAATGTCTATGAATTTCAATGGATTCAATCCCTTTCACCATGGTGGAATTCAGTGAGACACCTCACTTTCATGTCAGACGCCATTTTCCCTGTCTAGTATCCCTAACAGGTTAAAAAGTATAACGGAGTTCTGGCGGGAAGGTTCTATCTTTACTGCTATATAATCAACATTCGACGTCGTTGGTCAACATCATAAAATCAAATGCATTACTTTCTGGACTAATTTCATATTTATTTCATAAAAAAAAAGAACCAAATTCGTGTCTTTTTTTTTTTTTTACTTCGTTCTACTTCTCGCTTTATCAAAGAATAAATGCATTTATTTTTTTTCCACAGTGTGGGAACTTTTTTTCTAGCCTTGTCTACTAAACTACAATAAAAGCCAATCCTATGATTCCGCAAGTCGAGAAAAAAAAAATATTTACTTGAGTTCAGAAAATTCACTGGGGCATGGATTTATTTTGTTTTGTTTACGCTTTTTAAAATTTCCTTCAAATTATTTTGTTTTTCTGAAATCAACAACTGAAAATATGAGAGAACCAGTCGGAAGATAAAGAATGCCAAATTCCGCAGAAGACGCAACAATTTGTTTAAATCCTGCTATTTCACAATGATTTCGTTGTTTCTTTTGATAAATTAGGTAATATTTTTAAACAAATAAATCCGTTTAATTATCACTTATAGATAAGAAGAGAACTTCTCATAAACTTAATCTTGCTTTGAGTTTCGACATTTTCTTTCTATCCGCTTAAATTAAATTGCACCTATGATTCCTAAATTAGGCATTACAACCTCCTGTGCAAGCAGTAGACAGATACGAGAGACGGTGATAAATAAAGGATCCGTTTCTTTATTAACAAAGAAAAGAATACTAAACAGTTACGTGACATCTGTCCTTCTTTACGCGTCCTGGGTATGACAATAACTGCATCCAGCAACAAGGCCTCTGACCAGGAGGTTTTGAGGAGCGTGGAATCGCCTCGAAGTTGCTGTTCTTCCCGAGTGCATCCATATCTGCGGTAGTAGCACCCATTTGAGTCCCAGCTATGTGTAAATAGTTTCACCCCTCCCTTGATCTCCAGCTATACATTTTTGAAAAAAATAATATTACCAGCTATACGTTTTTGAAAAAAATATTACCAGCTCTACGTTTTGGAAAAATAATATTACCAGCAATACGTTTTTGAAAAATTAATATTATCAGCTATATATTTTTGAGGAAAAAAATATTAACAGAAATAGATTTTTGACAAAGCAAAAATATTACCATGAAAAAAAAAAGAAGGTTGTCGGCATTAAATGACCAATTGAGATTGATATGCCATGAAACAAAACAAACCAAAAAAAAAAACCTTCCTTACGGCAGCGAATTTTGGACGATTTCCTCAGAGATGAAGAAGAGACTCGACGCGACAGAGATGTTATTCTACAGAAAGATATTAAGGGTATCATGGAGCGAGTGTGGGATCAACGATGAGGTCATACAGAGGTTACAAACAAGAATGAGGCTTATACTTAATATCAGGCAGAGACAGCTGTAGTTTCTGGGACAAATAATGAGGAAGAACGGCTTGGAGAATCTGATACTCACGAGTCGAATAGAGAGAAAGAGACACAAAGGAAAACATCGCTTGACATACATGGCGGGCTTAAGCAAGTGGATGACAGAACGTGGTCTGGAGAAGGAAGCAGAAGGAAGGAACTTGTTGAGAGCTGCAAGGGATAGAGGGAGGTGGAGAGCCATTATCGTCTACGTCCTGAAATGTCATAGCATATAAAAAGAAAAACATGTGTCAGTTAGAAAGAAGGGTGATAATGACGACAGGATGGCTTTAGAACCAAATACATTTTAAAAATCTAAATGTCATAATCACACTAAGGAACGTGTATACTTTATAAAGAATACTGACTTGTGGGTGGAGAGGAACGGGTAGCTGTTCGGAAAGGGGAAATCTGCGAGTTGATTTCTAATTCAATTCGAGTTCATTTTATTTAATTAGGCTGAAATACTCTTGATATGTGTGATTCCATCTTTTCTCCCCAGTTATGTTTTAAATAGTTGTATATCTATCTAGAAAAGTTATCGGTATCTAAAAAATATCTGTAATGCCATATTCACTCTAAAAAATAAAGAATTATTCTCACAATCCTCAATATGTTTTGGTATTAAATAAATCACAAAGGGTTCATAAGCCATAAAAAATCAATAAATTACAAAGAATACAATTAATATAGCAATTATACAAAATATGTGAACTAATAATTGTTTTGTCCAAAGTTATAAAGCCGAATATTGGTTTGTATCAGGTTAGCATTATCTGTGCAGAATGCTGCCACAGACATATCAACCAGCAAAGGTTTCTAAAGGCCAATGATCATGTTTTATAGGTGTATCAATTTTTATCATTGTAAAAGCATTTTCATAATGATATCTAAAAAAAAAAAACGCCGTAATGCATATATGTGTTTACAATATTATATTAGGAGTAGATATGTTTCCCTGTCGTCCACTGCACACTCATACCCTGTTTTGGAACAGGAGTAGAAGTGTATCTCTTAGATCCTGTTTAGAATTGGGTTTCTGGTTCTTTTCAAAGTCTACTTCAGCACTATACCCCTAATGTTTGTTCTTTCTTACGGTAATATTACTCCACACAGTAAACGTCTAACTTGAGTGACTCTTGTATTGGGCTACATATTAGTTAGAACAATTTCTTGTTTTGAACTTGTAGCATACTAATATTAAGAAAGAAATATCTTCATATAGATGTGGGCGGTCGCTATGGATGTGGCGTGATGGCAAAGGAGGCGGCAGCTAGAAAAAACTTGGGAAACAGAGCATTAAACTTTAATGAACCCAGCAACGTTTAGCAACTCTATCTTTACTAGACCTTATCTTTTTGTTCGACTGATTACAATACTAAGTCAAAAAGAATTAAATCGGTTTCATTAATCGTTTACTGAGCTGTCAGCTTGATTCCCACATGCATTAAACATATGTTTTCTTTTCGACGGAGCGACAGTTATTACCAATCAATTTGTATAATTTTAACCAATATCTTTCAATTAGAAGCAAATACACGCACATTGTGAATATAGAATTGCTACTACTGTAAAGCTATGTTGTTAAGGTTTCATCAGAACTCTCATACTTCACAGTATTATCTAGTCAACTCCAGTCTTCGTCAATTTCTCTCAGAGAATCATTGGGTAACGGGAGGTAGCTATAGAAGAAAATTTATTTTCCTATTTGAATTCACCCCATTATCACATCACTTCCTGTACAGAACGGAATGGCTGAAAGGAGAAAGGAATGACAAACATCCTTTATTCTCATCGTGACTTTTATATCAGTAAGACATGCACAAAACTTGATATACATATATACAAGTGTCCCGCGCTGAGCAAAGTATATCATGTATACACGGCAATACAGAGAGTAAGGAGAGAAAGAAAGGTGTCTTACATATAATATGGATATAGTCCTGTATCTGGAGAAGCAATCTCTAGGATTCCAAGATTCGAACGAGCCGGATTCATCTATATTCCAGGCGAGGGCATATTCCACAAACGAGAAAAAGGGAGTCTTGTATTTTCCCAAATTGAGGACTGTGAGCTGGACTTTATTTCTGTAGAGAAATGGCACCATGGATTTCTAAGCTGCTGGAGAGGCATAATTAGCCTATTCCCGAGTGATGTTGGGGGGGATAAATAAAGCAAGCTCTAGGTTCAGCTGCTGTAAAGTAACTGAAAGTTGACTATAGAGTGACGTCATTACGCAGCCGTCACATGATCCATGTGACTTTTCTCCACAAACGGGAGATAAACGCCTTCTGTATCCCTACATTTGTATGATTTTGGCGTTTTCTTTGAGCGCTGATTTGTCTCTTCCCGAAGATGAAAGTCAACCTCCTCACATTCCCTTATATATCTACCTGTAGTACAGTTTATCCCAATGTGCAGTTCGAAAATGGAGCTGAGTTGATCAAGTGTTCATATGTCGAAGACAGTCCCAGACATTCTGTAAGGCAGGGATATGCACCTGGTGGCTATTAGATTTCCCTTCAAGTCAAACTGCTGATACTCCTGGCTTATCTGGAGCTCTGACTTAGAAATAAGTGTAAAACTATTTTCTCATTATAGTCATATAGTACACTTTGAACTATATGCAAATATACGAGGAGATTCGAAAGCGTTAATATCTAACATACTTCATTTGCAGCCTAAAGCACAGAAAGATGCAGCAACTCACAGTCCTTTAATACCCAGTCCTCTGAATCTGCGCGCCAGTAACATTGTGTTAGAACGACTCTGCGACCGTTACTCTAGCCTTCTTGGGGTCAGTCAGCAGTTCACTGCGGACTGTTCGGTTCAACTCTCTTCCTGCGGGCGGGAGGAGCCCGAGGGGGGCTGCTCCGGGGGGCGGGGTCTCCTTTGGGGAGGTTAGACCGACCCTAAACCCGTTTACACGGGT